TGGGTTGCTCGATATGGATTTTTTTCACAAAGAATTCGCCTCAAGAGATTATAATCTATCGAAGTTATGATTAGTACCTGAAAATATTGAGAGAATGTCGAGATACGATAAAGTCAACGATAACAAACGAACAGAATTCTTTGGGTAGAAAATATCGAGCTGTTTTATTTTTTCAATGTATTCGCTGCGATATTATCGAATTTAAATAAAACCATTGACTACATGTTTAGGATAGTTCTCCTTCTAGTGAATTTGTAGGTATATTGTGATGAGATGGTTAGTCATTTAATGACTCGAAAATAATATCATATGTATGTTTGGCCTAAATATTTATTGAGTTCTCATAGGAAAAATACAAACATCAAGAAGTGTAGAATTTTATAAGATGTTGATAAAGATGTCTACATTTACTTCATATTTGTTTTTATCCTTTCACCATTTTATGGAAATGAATTTTCAAGAAGAAATTCAAAAGATCCATTATTTCTTCAGCATATTATTTGATTCATTATCAGTTCCAAGATCTCACACAAACCTTGATTTTTTGTTTTTGGCTCTATCAATTGGGTTTTCCACTAGCGTCAACCACCAATTATTTGTAGTAATAATATCAAAGAAAAATCAGAACTGTCAACTTACTATTGAAATTTTTACATTTTGTACTATCATATTTATTCATGATATAACTATCAAGAATAGTTATTTGATTTACTAGGCAGAAAAGTACAAGATTTAATGCCGCGGCTGGCGTTTCATAGCATAGGCGAAGCCGAGGCTCAGTCGAGGCATTATCTTCTTTTCTGCCATGTGAAACATATTTTTTTTCCAAATTCTTTTCATACTCACGCAAAGCCCGAATAATCCATCATTTTGCGTGAAAAGAATGAATTTAAAAAGAAATTATATGTTTCACATGGTAAACAAGAAGATTCATGCCCATTAAATCTTGTGGTGTTCTGCCTAGTCAAACACCTAACTGTTAGTAAATTAGCTGCCTATAGGCAGTATAAGTGTATACACAAATAGTAAAATAACTGAAGTGAGTTTGAAAGACTAAATAATCATATTCAACTCTTATGGAAAACCCTAATTGCAATTTCTTCAACCAATTCTTATTTCCATTATTGGTCATCAACTTCTTCTACCAAATCCAGGAAAATTATTCATTGAAATTTTAAAATTTGTCACATGAAATTCAGATTTGTTTGAATTCATTGAAATACAGGAGAAACATCTTCGAAACCAAAAATGTTTGTTAAAAAATATATTTTCATTTCCATCATAAATATTTTCATAATGAATAATTGTCTGCATAATTATGTGATAATTAGTCAAAATCATATTTATACAGGGTGAGTCAGTTTTTTGGAGATGGACTTCAACAGCTTGAAGAACATATATTTTCAAGATGAAAATTGTATGTGTGGGAGCTTCGTTTCCATTATACAGGGTGTCAAAGTTTTTTGTGTTTCTCAAGCTTTCTCCAACATTCATTATTTGCGGATTTTTTGGGATTGTATAGTGAGGCCAAATCAGATGATTTGCCCCAAAATGAAACTCATATTTTCATTTTATAGAAACGAGGAGAGAAAATCCTAAAAAATCCGGAATAAATATATGACCTCCATGATTAACCTACAGACAGTATTTTTCTCCTACAATTTTCAGAATAGTGAATTGAAATTTGGTACACCTACTACATTTTGAAAACTCAATATTTGCGGCTATCAATTGTTTTTTATTATCTACAGACAGGGTGATACCAGTGGCGGCTCGTGACTTTCATGACAGAGGAGGCTGAATGAAATGAGATCTATTGTGAAAAACAACTCTCTACGACTCACCCAAATCAATAGCTTTAATGACATTCTTAACCTGAACTTAATACTTGAAGAGATGTATTCCTGTGATTTGCAGTGTCTATCCAATCCGCGAGGCAAATTTTCCACATCATTATAGTTTAATCGCCCTCAACATGACTTATCGGTTGAAAATAATACGCAGTACCAACAAAATAGCTCATTCCATACCTCAGATCCCGTCAACCAGATATATTTTTTATAATAAAATTAACCTAACATAAACATAAAAAATGCACTCGCGCTGGATCGTCCGCAATTCGCGACGCGACACGATAAACACGTGCTATTCGGGCGTATTCGGGCATTTGCATTGCGCGCGTGGGTTGCGCATTGTGAAGGAGTCTAGCCTTCTATATAGATGTTGCCAAGTTGAATATTTTACGCGTGATTTGCAGACTTCAACGTGTGATGCGTGGGCAAGCACTGTTGCCAATTCAAAATATTTACCTAAAAACAGGAAATAATATCAAAACCCTTTTAATGAGAAAGTATAGATAATATCAGTTTGAGGAGAATCTCTGAGGAGGCTCAGCCTCCGTTGCCTCCTCTGAGGAACCGCCACTGGGTGATACACTCTTTTGGGAGTTGTACCCAATTTAACCCTCTTGAACTTTTTTGTGTGCTGCATCTGCTTTCATAATGAGAAGTCAGTTTATATTATCTCTCTTATTTGGATACTATTTTCTCTACTGTATGTTCTTTTAAAACTGTATGGACTTCAAGATAAATTAAATAGCAAATATGAATGAATGAAACTAAATTTTCTCATTTTTCTCAAACACACACTCTATTTGAAATTTCCAGATAATTGACTAGAAAATCTGGAATGATAAAGAGCTTTTATTAGGTGTTTCAGTTAAAATCTGTGGCAAAACTTGAAAACCACAAAAAATAGGTAGATAGGTTCTTGGTATATAAAAATACGATACCACCCTGTATAACGGAAGCGGGCTCCTATGCTTATATTTTCTCATTAGATTTTCATCTTAAAAATACATATTCTTTCAGCTGTTTTGAAATCCAGCTAAAAAATGCATGCCCTATTCAATTCCTTATGTAAGTATAGTACCTACCAAAGTGTTATTTCATTGCAGGTAAAGCCACTTTTTCCTGTGTACCGGGTATACCACTAAGAAAGGACGCAGGCTGTATCTCGGAAACTATTTGCCGTACAGGTTTCGAAAAAAAATATGAAGGATGAAAGTTGCCAAGAAAAATCTCTGGAAATTATTTTCAAGTTTCGAGGACAGCCGCTAGAGGGCATAATTGCATTGGCCAACCTAAAAAACGGGTTTTTATGAGAATTTGATATATCAAGACATATCAGAAACACTTTTTCCATGTTCTCGAGTAGATTTCCAATCATTTCGATCGAAAAAAATTGTGCTAGCTCTTAAAATAAAAGAGGGAGGGAAGGATGAATAGTACTCTGGAAAAACTCTTATTACTACAGTTTGGTGTAACGGAATTAAGCGATCTTGGTCTCATTATGAAGGGTTTCTTCAGATCTTCCCGATAAATCACGAATCGAAGTCGATTTAAATCCCGTGGTGGCCACTAGATGGCATCATTCGAAAAATCACCCGATTTGCCTTTTTTTTTCGAGGATTTCAAATGGAACCATATATTTTTCCTGTTATGATATGAAAGTGAAGTGAACGAGAAGAAAAATGGTGAAAACCGCGAGTTGATACCTCTTGAAGAACCGGAGAAATACTCGGAATAATATTAAAATTTAAACTGTCATGTCAAATGCCTCGTCATTCGTTATCGGCATTTTGACAAATGAGCAATCCACAGTGAAAACTTTCAATGGAACTTCAATTATATTTTGACGTTTCTTTCATTCAAAGCCAACTTGCCTTTTCTCATTCCTGAGCCTATACTCACTGCTTACATTTCAATAAGCTATGTCATTGCTAAGAGTCTCCTTCACTATTGTGAGATATAACAGCAGTTTGTGAAACCAAAATAAATGAATTATTGAAATCGTAATTTCATAAATACAGGATATTTCTGATGACGATTATTGAAGTTAGATTCCTGTGGTGAATATTTTCATAATATTATTTCACCGTTTCCTCAAGAGGCATCAATTCACGGTTTTCGCCATTTTCCTTCTCGTTTGCTCTACTTTCATATCAAAGTAGAATGAATATATGGTTCCATTTGAAATTTTTGAAAAAAATTGAAAATGGTCTGATTTTTCAAACGATACCCTTCATAATGAGACCAAGATCGTTGAATTCCGTTACACCAAACTGTAGTAATGGGAGTTTTTTCAAAGTTCTACTCATCCTTCCCTGCCTCTTTCATTTAAAGAGCTAGCGCAATTTTTTTGATCGAAATGATTGGAAATCAACTCGAGAACATGAAAAAAGTGTTTTTGTTATGTCTTGATACATCAAATTTTCATAAAATCCCGTTTATTAAACTGGCCAATGCAATTACGCCCTCTAGGGGCTGTCCTGGAAACTTGAAAATAATTTCCAGAGATTTCTCTTGGCCACTTTTATCATTCATATTTTTTTTCGAAACCTGTGCGGCAAATAGTTTCCGAGATACAGCCGGCGTCCTTTCTTAGTGGTACTCCCGGTACATCTATATAGTTTTACTGTTTTGTGCAATATTTATGATCTAGTATTTACAAGATGTGAGATCCACATTTGCTCATATACAGTATAAGCCCAAACTCCAATCATATACTTGAATGGAAATTACGAAAATTACTCTTTTGTTGTAACAGTTTGGGGTTATGCTGTATTTTGTTATTCTTATTATATTTTGTGTATCATAGAAGTGTTGATAGATTTTTTGGCACACAAGTATGTAAATGCATTATCATGTGAATGTTTTGAGTGCCATTTTTACATATTTCGAATTTCAATTTTGATTTACCTTTGTGATATAATTTGATGTTAACCTATTTGAAGTGTATATACAGATTCATGAGATTTTGCTTCTATCAATTTGTCATGTATGTTTTCCCTTTACAATCAAGTGTTGGAGTACAACCACTTTTATGGAAAATAAAAATAAAAATATTTATTCTTGATCATTATTTCAACCCCCCATGATGGATATTTTACCATCGTTTAAAAAAAAATTCTTGGTGGTCCAATTTTTCAAGGTATGATGCCTCAGTATTACTAACATTTTATTTATCTGTTTGTATATTAACAATACATATTCTTATATATCTGAATATCACAAGGAAATAAAGCATAATTCAACAACACTGTTATTTTCAATTAAATGCTATGGAAATTAGTATGGAATATTAAAATTGATCAAATTGAATAGAAAAAATATAATACCTTCATCTGTATGAACTAAAATGCAAGTAAAAGTAATAAAGCACCATTAATAAATTATCTGAGTAACTACAAAAACTATATACAGAATTTTACCTAATCAGAGAGAATTATTCTTGGTTATTCTTTCTTTTTGAGAAAGCGTTCATTAACCATAGCATATACAAGGCCTAGAGTAAGTGCACCCACTGCAGCTCCTTGAGCTCCTACACGAAGCTGCATCAGATATACACTTGTGCTCATTTTTCCTTTATTTTTGAAAGAGTAGGCACCATATCCAACTGCAGCCAGACATAAACCAATTGCTGAAAAAAAAACAATGATATGATAAGATTTCGGGTCTATGACACTTTGCAGAATGGTGATATCCGGAATACTTGGTCAAGACGCCGAAAAAGATCGCTGAACACTTTTCCAAAAGTGGTCATTAAGCTGAAACACGCCAGTGGACAAGTTACTGAATGTGTTCACGACGCCGAAACAGCTGTTAGGACATTTCGCCAAATATGGTGAAATTGCTAAAATAACTCTTTGTAATTTTCCATTTACCGCTACATACTTGAGAAATATTTTTCGGAAAATTACATGAGGGCCCATTTGATGACTAGCGAACTACTGCACAAGTTTTCACTGTGTGGAAAATTTTTACAAATCTAATTTGTGAATTTAGGAGAATGCTTCGATGGATAAGCTAAGCAAAAATATAAAAATGAAACTATATCAGAGTCACTCATGTGAAGTTGGAGCCGTTTATTTTTTCAACTCAATTATTTTTTTTTTTGAGTTGTGAGTAGATTTGATAGAGTTCTAGAGTTCCTGACTGAAATTTTGTATAGTTCCAGCGAATCATAGATGTAAGTGGAAAAAATTAATTTTGAGTGGTTCACGCAACTCCATTTCTCTTGGAGAAAACGAGTTCTGAAATAATTTTTTGTTGTATTATGAAGAGCTCTGGAGTTCTAAACCTATTTCATCAATAGTTGTGGTGAACCAAGCAAATTATTGAATAATTTAAGAAAATAAAATACGAAAATGTGTTTCCATAGGCGGCATTTCTTGGTGAAATACTATTCTGTTCTCTTTCGTATTGACAAAACTATTGTGAAAAAAGGAGGAGTCATTAGAAAATATAAAATCTGAAAAAAATCAGCTGTCATAAGGTGCCAACCTCAAAGAAATATCAATCTTGATGAAAAAGTAATTCCAAAGAACAGTTCTAATTTCTATTTCCAACGAGAACTTGAGAAGGCGGAAGGAGCCTGGAGAGCCAGACAATGGAGAAGACTTCCAGGACTACGGCAGGCTAAAGGTCTCCTTGGAAATTTCAACCGAGAAAGATCTAAGACACTGACAAACCTCAGCAAAGGAAGTCTCAAAGTAATAACGGGATTTCTAACGGGGCATTGCAGACTCAAAGAACACCTAAGGAAGCTAGGCTTACAGGAGGACGGCACCTGCAGATTCTGTGAGGAAGAACCAGAAACACCCCATCACATACTGATGGAGTGTGACGCTGTACATCACAAAAGATTGAACATACTGGGAACACACCAGCTGACTGTGGAAGAAATACCACAGCTAGACCCCCTCAAAATCCTCAAATTCCTGAAGTAATTGAATCTCGAGGGGCTGCTATGAACAAGAAATCCTTGATATAGCAGGAGCAGATGGGGCACAATAGATCTAATTGGGTCGCAGCGCATCTGTCACCATCCAACCTACCAATACCAATACCAACAGTTCTAATGGGAGTTCTAAATAGCGCTTGAGGAGTTCTCAAAATAGTCTTATTGTGTTTTAGTGACTAATGGATACTATTTCATTATACATGAATATAGTGTTCTCTAATTATAGTAATTGCGCTCCAAGCGATAAAAAAAAAAAAAAAAAAATGAAAGTATAGAGTATACATACAGAGTGTTCCACGACAAGAGGGACAAACTTAGTTTGACAGATCTAAGCTAGTCCAAATAAATTTCATGATATTGCTTAATATCTTTTGTTCAAGATATATCATATCATATATAAAGTAATTTATCTGTAAGGCGCCGGAAAATCGAACCGCCAACGGCAGGGGGGGCAGGGGGAACCCCTGAATTTTTACAAAAAATGTAATCCAGTTAAATTCTGTCACCACATAATATACATCATCAGTATTGTATCCATACATGAAATTGAAAAAAATACATATTATTTCAAAATTGTTGAAACATCATTCAGTAAAATAGTAGGAATTATACATAAAATTCAGGTATATAAGAAAGCAAATTTTCCTAAAATGTAAAAATTACAATAGACTGCTAATAAACTTCCTGTTATGACTGATAGTTGTTGGTTTGTATATGGTGAAAAATTTGAAGTGAATCAGGGAATATCTGAATTATTTTGTTAAATTTGAAAAAATGAGTCAGCATCTCTTGCTCCCAAAATAATCTGGGAATATCCACCTGCTTTCAGGTAACGTACAGACAGTATCCAAAATACATTTTCCTTGCTTTCCTATTTCCAGATCATTTGATTTCTGCTGAGAGCATGTATATGTGATGGAGTTGTTTTCAGTCCAATCTCAAGGCATTTGACCTTGAATCTCAACAAAATATTTGCCAGTAGTGCTGGGCATTTTTACCATATGAAATGTTTGTCTGACTTTCTTGACTCCCTTCCTGGTAAACACTGAAATGGAGTTGTTGTCACTCTAAAAGAAATCTAATTCTCAATTTGATGGCATTTGACCTTGAACACCCAAACCAATGTGATGTGAAAATATTATTCAAAACTGCCATTGTCCAAATAGCTGATTGGTTTATAGGAATTGCACATACACATGTTTCTGAAGAGCCAGTTTTTTTTATGTTCTGGTTCCCAGGAAAATAGATATCCTGTAAATAAGGTAGGAATTGGTGTTCTACTTGAATTTCTGGAGGTTATATACCTGGGGGAACACCTCCCTTGTGCCTGATGATCCCCTGAAAGGGACTACTTTTTCTGAACTATCTGATAAATAACTAAGCCTAAATGAACCTTCTTGTTGGAAAGCATATTTTTGGAGAAATGGGATCTTTGACCATGGTGAGGCAAAGTGAGGGGATCTCCAATTTCTCAGGACTAAAACTCTGATGGAAAATGACCAACAGTAAATTTTCAGTTGTTACTTCATATACTACTACTAAACTCATATACACATCAAAAATAATATGTATGGAGGATTTTTAATAGACATTTATTTATCAATGTTATCAAAAGTGGTTGGACAATCTAAAAACTGATAAAATTCACTGATTAAAACACATATTTATAGGTAAAGAGTTTGAGTTATCATCATCTCAGATTGCAAAAATTTTATCTAAAAAGAAGCTATATTTGACTGGAGATTCACCTACAATTATTAGAACTCACCAATAGGAAAGATTGGCATTTCTTTGGATTTTCTTGCTAATCTTTCTCCTTGTGTTTCTTCTTCATAATAGATTTTAGGTGGCTCAGTAACTGCTTCTAGAATTTGAAAAAACATATCAAAAATTGAAATTGTGATGCCTATTCTTTGATTTAAATAGATAGGTATAGGCGGTAGTCATAAAATCAAAAGGAAGAAAATCTTACTACAAAAATAATGTGTAATAAGAGTTTATTTCGAAATTACCAAAAATGTATAAAAATTCTGAAGTTTAGGGATGTATTTATGAAATTACATCATATTTCTTAATGTGTACTAACCTGTGGTCATAATGAAATGTTTGTCCTTAATACAAAACTGCAAATAAAATGGAAAACGAAATTTATACAGTACAATAAATAATGTGAATAGAAACTCCAAAGCTCCAAAGACCAAAGATCCAAAGATGATAAATTGAAAATTGATTTCCTTCCCTATGCAATATTTCACAAAATACTGACTGACCTGAAATATCAAAATGACAATGACATTGAAAATATACGCCCTTGCCAGTATTGCCACCTAAAGTAAATGTCGCAAAAAGGCACGAAAAAAAGCAGGCCAGTTTCTGTCTCTATAGGTAACGAAATCGACCAATAGGCGTTGATGCCGACGTGGGGAAAAAATAATACGAAACTTGTCAAACCAATCGTGATTTTGACATGGTTTCTTGAGGGGCACACAAACTATCTATTAGATGTTACCTTTGATGAGCATAGCCCTCAAGGCTATGCCACATCTACAATATAATAAACAGTTTCACCAAACACAATTATGGAATTCCTTCTGGTTCCAACTCGGATTCCAAGGAAAACAATCCCACTTATTCTGGTTTTATATGACATTTCTTGACAAAATACAATGTTTGCCCCTCAACAACATGTCAAATGACGTAATTCTGGAATGATTTATATGGCTGTTTCCATCCTTCACTTTCCGTCCTTATAGATGCCTTATAGACGCTTATAGCAAAGAATAGTAGGTTAAGAAGAAAGCGACAGGCAGCTACGTATCGCTGCGTCGCGTCGCTGCCGTAACACCGCTTCGGGTGTTTTCGTTCGGTCGTTGGGCAAACATATTACCGATAGGGGAAATCTTGATCGTGATCGTGCTTGTAGTCAGTGCTGCCAATGTGCGGAGGATCCTCCGAAAAGGGGTTGTTTTTGGCGTTAGAGGTTTTTTTGGAGGAGGATTCACACAAAGCGGAGGAAAGGGGTTTTTCAGCCATCATTGTAATTTTGTTACTCAACTTTAGTTGAGGCTTGCGTGTGCAACATCTGTCCATGATCCAATCATGATCATGATCGAACCCTCCGTGAGTCTATGAAGTCGGAGTCTGTGTTCTTGTTCTGTGCTTCTGTGGTGGTGGTGGTAATATAGATAAATAAATAACCGTCGGTTTCGGTTTTAGTTCTGTGGTCGGTCTCAATGGTGTGAATGATGTCAAGTTTCGTCATAATCTCATATACCAAATATTAGTAATTGGTATAAATCTCTTTTACACTTTGACCACACAACCAACAACCAAAGAATAATGACAAATAAAAATAACAGATTTTTTTAATATTTCCAGTTGTATTTTAATTACTCATTGGCTCATTGTCATCATAATAATTATGTCTCTTGCTAAATACGGATTCGGTAAATTATCGCACTGAAAAAATGTTCATACTCAAAACCAGTGTTTGGAAAAATAAGAAATTCAATGAAATCTTTTTCTAACAAATGTGTAGTTTGTTTTTTTTTTTTCGGTTTGTTCCACGTATATATATGATTGTTTGGAAATGAATAATTCCATTTATGAATATATATATATATATGATTGTTCGAAAATGAATGATTTAATTTATCAATCATGTCTTTCATTCAAAAAAGGTGTATTTTGAAAATAGCATTATCCGCAGAACATAGAACACACGTCAAATTCAGTTAACCTTGTCGGGAGGAGGTTTTCGTTCATTTGCGGAGGATTTCACGTGCTAAAGAGAAGGAAGGACTCGAATTGCATTGGCAGCACTGCTTGTAGTGTAGTAGTCAAGGGCACACAAGGGTGGGTGTTGGGTTAGGGTTTAGGGGGAGTCAGGATGGGGGAATATATTATATTATTATTTATTATTTGGAGTTTCGAATATTAATTTCATATTTTATTTGGTATGTGATGTGTGGTTTTGTGTGGCCACGAAAATAGTCCATAGTCGAAGAGTACCTACCTTTCAGGTTTGTAATAAGAAAAAGTCATCCATAGAATTCATCTAAAAATAGTTTCTCTGGTTTTTTATATCTAGAGTTCTTTGGACCCTTCTCTGTGGAAATTTGCTTTTAATTTTGCATGGTTAAATGAATCGATCATGTCCCTTAGTAAGTTGTCTTTATATTTATTCATATAATAATCCCTCATTATCTAACTATGATGTAACATTATGAAACATTCATTGTATATTATTATGATTGATACTTTTTTCTCAGCAGCAATGAATGATCCAAGAATGTACTATGAAGAAGAAAGTCAAAGTGAGAGACTAGCTAGAAAATCCAAAGAAACACCTTTTTTTCCTATTGGTAAGATTGGTGCCTGTGATATCTGTTTACTTATAATCTATGGTAATAACAATTTTATTTTCACAGCCATTGGAATTTGTTTGGCAGCTATTGGTTATGGGGCCTATGCATTCAAGAACAGGGGTAAAATGAGTGTCAGTGTTTACCTGATGCATCTTCGAGTAGGTGCCCAAGGAGCTGCAGTAGGTTCTCTAACTCTGGGTCTGATTTACACTATGATAAATGAACGTCTGTTGAAGAAAAAATGATAACACATACAAGTTGTATTCGTTTTGAATCTCAAAACTGCTAGTGAATTGTACATATGATTGTGTTTGTCAAGATTATTTATTTATTTATTCTCCAATGAATTGTGTATAGTCAATCATTATAAATTTTGTTTTGAAACTAGATGTTTTTCTTCAATATATCTTCAGTTTCATGCTTATATACTTCAAAAAACAAAATGGGAACACTAGTTTTACAAGGAAAATGAATTTATTATCTGGAAAAAAGTTGTCAGCAATTCAAAATGAAAATGATCTTACTTTTAATGGTTTACCCCAATCCCCAGCTATACAGGGTGTTGCAAAATTCCACCAACATCACTTGAAAAGTGAGTGAATAGCCCTCCTTATTTTATGACTTAGATAGGAATTGAGATAAGCATCTCAGTAGGGATATGCAGTCTTCAAATGTTCAGTTGTGAAGCCAAGTGTTTTGAAGTTGAGGAATGAAAATAGTTTTCTGGCAATAAATCAGGAACTATTGGATTTTTTGCATTTGATTTCAGAACATTGTTTAATCTTCAAATAGCTCATTTTTTGACTAGAAAGTCCTTCAAATCGGTTTATAATAATTCATCCGTTTTTTATACAGGGTGAGTCGATAGTGTGTTCTCCTTCGATATTAGCCAAACCGTCAGGTATATAAAAAAAATTCGAATACAAGTCATGGAATTTTATGAGAGCTATCACCTAAAATCATTTTCAAATCTATAGGATGTTCGAATTCCAAAATATCGGCTGATGATGAGTGTTTTTAAATGGGACACCCTGTATATTATTGAATTTTCAATTTTTTCTTGAAGTGCTGATTTCATCAATGTATCACACTTGGGGTCTATCGGAAATGAGATATAGGGTGTTCAGAATCGAAAATTTTCAAATTTGGGATTTTTTTGTGACAACTATTCATTATTGGTTGAAACGGCTTACATGTCCCTATCTCAACGTTTGATTCACTATCTACTGAAATTTAATTGGAATAGATACAGGGTGACCAGAAATATTGAACCACCCTGTATCTGTTCCCTTTAAGTGTCAGTAGATGGTGAATCAAAAGTTGAGATAGGAACATGTAAGCCGATTCGACCATTAATGAATTGTTTCAACACAAAAAACACAACACAAGTTGAAAAATATAGATTTTGAACACCCTATATCTCTATGACCATTTCAGCTAGTCGCAAATTCAAATACATTGGTGAAATCAGCTCTTGAGGGAGAATCTAAAGATGTAATGATATACAGGGTGTCTCATTTGAAAACACCCATTATCAACCAATATCTTGGAATTCAAACACCCTATAGATATGAAAATAGCTTTAGGTGATAGTTCCCAAGGAACCCTATAACTGTTGTATTAGAATTTTTTCTATATATTTGACGGTTTGGCTAATATAGAAGGAGAACACACTATTGACTCACCCTGTATATTCCTAAAAGATAATATAATTATTTATTAACTTCAATACCCAGTATATCGCTTGAGAATAACCACTTGGGGACCTCATGTTTCAATTTAATTTTGTATAAGTAGAACGTTTTTTTTTCTAATATTTGAAAAGGTGTCGCGTCAATTGGACGTGGAAAATTGGACGCACGACTATTGGTCGCAGTCAATTGGACGCGGCGACAATTGGACGCGGCGTCAATTAGACGCGGCGACAATTCGACGCGGCGATAATTCGACGCGGCGACAATTGGACGCATGCGTAAATAAAAATAATTTTATAATTCCAATGAAATTCATTGTATAAAATATGAAATACTGATGGGCTTATATCCATAATTATAACAAATACCTATGGCCTCGTTTGACAATTATTTTCCTATCTCATATCGTAATATGAATTTACGATACGAATATAGTACAATAGGTTAGGTAAGGTTAGGTATTTGTTATATTATAGATATGAGCCCTGCATATTCCATATTCCATGCAATAAATTTCATTGGAATTATAAAATTATTTTTATTTTCGCATGCGCTCAATTGTCGCCGCGTCCAATTTTCGTCGGGTCCAATTGTCGCCGCGTCCAATTGTCGCCGCGTCCAATTGTCGCCGCGTCCAGTTGTCGCCGCGTCCAATTTTCGTGCGTCCAATTGACCACGTCCAATTGTCGGTAATCCATTTGAAAATAAGGAAAATATACTATTTTATTTTGACAACCATATAGTAACAGGAAAATATCATACTGAGAGCTTTAAGAAATGTATTGAAAATAAAACAAGGATATGTTAATAATGACATTAAAGCCTTTATTTTGAAACAGGTATATAAAAAGTATATAGATAATAATAATTCAATATTGAATCTCTTGGGTAATATAAAATTCATAGAGTATTTAAATATACAATATAAGGTGTTTCAAAATTGTAGTGATGGAAGCCTAGGGGTGCTATTTTTTTAATGAGTTTTTAATTTAAGAGCTCAAAAACGCATAAGCTAATTTCTATGAAATTTTCAGGATTTATTCTAACAATTATCAGTCATCTACTTGGGCAGTTTGATCCCGAATTTTCAGGGGCACACCCAGCGAGCAAGTTGGTTGTATTTTGGAAGAAAAAAATACCACCCTGTAGTTTTTAAGGTTCTTAGCAATTATTACTCAAATAAAATCACTAAAAATTATACATTTTTGCTTCTTCAAGAGTTTTCGTTTCTGAGAAAAAATACAAGAAAATGAAAATTTCATTGAAATCTGCTAAATGGCTTCTGAGCTATGAGAGCTAACATATAACCCTAAAGAAGCTTGACATATACTATCAAATGACACAATAAAAAATATAAGGGTAGGAATCAAAATGAAATTTCTGACGTCACCTCTGTACAAATATTCCTGTGGTAGGCACAATCATGCGGAGTTCCATTAATCAAATAGTCTTGAAGTTTAGTAGGTACTTGTTTTTTTTTCGTTTTCTGTTCCAAGATGAATTTTTCCGTAAAGAATTTGACAAATTCTGACATTTCGAGAATATTGTTATATAGGCACTCATTTTATCAAAACATTTTCAAGAAAAAAAAAGGCCTATGAAGTACTATTGGGATGAGCAGAATCTTTCCCTAGGCTTTTGTCCCTACAACTCTGAAACACTCAGTGTAGGAATAACAGAAATTTCACAAATTTCAAATAAATAACAAATATATGATTTGATATACAATATGGAAGTAAGTACCAAAATATCACAAATTAAAATGAAAATTTGTTTTGTTCCCTTGATAATCGATAAATGCAAAACCTTTGGATGAAAGAATGAATATGAAAATATACATTTTTACAGGGTCAATTACCTTCAAAAGAAAAATAGAAATCAAACATGTGGAATATACCTACAGGGTAAGTCCATTAGAAAATAGGAATGTCTCAATATTATACAAATCCTCAAAGTGGTGGGAGTCTGAAAAAAAAATTGTCAATTCTAATTCTAATAATTATTGTGGATTCCCGTAGAAATGAACTATTCACCTTTTCATTCAACTGTTACACTCTTAGCCAAGTTACGAGGACAATCGACATTGCAACCTTTGAGGACTGCAATGTGGAAAGACAGCAACTGCAAGGGAATGACAGTGAGGATACCTTGCAGGCAATCCACCGTCCTGGGCACTTCCAACACCCTGTAGCCGAAGGCCATCGTCTCCTTATCGCCCTCCTGGCACACTATGATAGGTTTACCATCACGAGCAGCCACCTGAAAAAATTAAAAAAAATATATTTGAAAATTTCCACCACTCATGTTCCGAGATTTTTTCGAATTCTCTGCTCGTTTCTATAAAATGAATTTATTTATCATTTCACTATACAGGGTGTTTTCAAAATTGCAGCGATCCTTGAAATGGGTGTTGCACAAGTCATAATAAAACAATAAATGACAAAACAATTTTTCGAAGCAGTCCATAATTTTCTAAAATAGGCTTCGCTCAGTGGAAAATTATATTTAATTATTTCGAAGTACTAACTCTAAGTACTTCATTGTTGCAAACCGTTCTTTCCCCAGAGCTCTGTACATTTTTCAAATATGTATTGAAATTCACGATATTTCGTAAAAGTACAAGAATATTTCTGATTGTCATAGTTCGCCTCCTCAGAAGGTGCTCGCCCTACACTCTAGTGAAGTTTCTGGACTGAATACTTACTGCAGAGAATACAACACACAACTGCAGAATCAGGTAATGAGAGGAATATCTTTGAATATTCGCATCTTGACTATATGAAACAAGGATTTGAAGATGAAGGTGACGCTAGAACGTAAGGTTGACAATGTATTTCGTCTTCTTGTATTTCTGGAAATCTAGTCATTATCTAGTCACTACTCACTACCAGTGCCACAAAATAATGTGGGTTTATATAAAATCTCGATCATTATTAGAAATACTAGGATATTTTTATTGGTACTGAAGGATTTTACAAGTATGAGTATTCAATAGGTGATTATTAGGGACCAGGTCAAACTATTGTCTTCTGTGAATGTGAATACTGTTTGCATTGGTCATATTGAATTGCATAAGGTAATGGGGTTGTACACACTAGTCGAATAGTATTTGATGCAATCATGTGTTATTTAAAATCGGAAATATATATCTTTTTTAATAATGAAATTCGACACCCCATTGTGTGATTTTACTCTTCATATGGTTTGAGATGCACTGGTTTGCGTTTGATGCGGTAACGCTGTGATCGGCTGCGTCATGGTCTGCTCAATATGGAGAAAAAATCTAGTGAGCTGTATAGTATCTGGTCTGCTGAAACAAAGGAAATCACCTACAGGTTTCTGTGGCCGATACAGTAGTGCCGCCATACGGTCAACTCGAGGAAACACTTATTTCAATTGTTTTCCTGTCAAACCTACATAACCTTGAAAATCTTTAACGAGTTGAGCAGCTCCCGCAGCAGTGCTCTCGGCCTGCCGCGTAGTTTATCGTTCAGTGAGTTTGAGTTCAGTATCACGACATAGTCACGGGTCACGGTCACTCAAAAATTCGAAAAAATCATTCCTTCTCAAAATGGTTGCTACAGAAACTACAATAGTCCCCAATTTCGTAACGTTCAGTACCTAAATTAAATGAGGCAGAATGAGTAGTTTCGATTATTAGCTTTTGATCAGGGCTCTGATTATCTCGTAATGAGCCTGTAACGGAGACGGTTTCACAGTTTCTGTTAGGCACAATTGAGAGACAGAGTTTGTAACAAATTATCAATCAGAATAAACTATAATACAGGAAGTACAATACAAAACTATATCTATAAATGAAAGGGATTTTAGAACAATGAGAATTGAATTGACACTGACAACTTACATAACCACAAATTTTGAAAAATTTCTAGAAGAAAGTGAAGATCATTTCGTCCGATACGGTAACATCCTCTGGTGGTCATACACTCAACTGAGCTATAGAGTAGACCAGTAGTTACAGCTCACTAGATTTTTTCTCCATATTTAGCTGACAATGGACTGCGTTAGCATTCGTCAAGGTGGGGAAATCTGTGTGTACATTTGCACTCCGGCACTGTTGCCAGGTTACTTCATTTTGTAAGTTCAACCAGTTATCATATTTGGCCTCAAATTTTTACAGAATATGTAGACACTGAACTCGACACTGAATAGAATCAATTGATTTTATCTCAAAAACGTTAACGAGTATTTGATAATAAACAGATTTACTATAAATGTTCAAAATTAGCAGCCACTATCTATGCTGTGCCTCGCATGGCGTAGTAAAGGTAAGAATTCAACACTACTCGAATACAAATGACCATCTAGAGACGGGTCGCACAAAAGACAGGGTGCAACAAATAATACAAAACTAGGTACCTATTGTCGCATCTCAAGAATCGAGTTGTCAATTCTTTCGCAAATATCCTGGTTTTCGATATCCACAAACACAAATGAAAGTAAAATGTTTTCAGTAAATTTTAGTTGTAACCACAACAATCATTTAAAAAAGACATGTAACAAAATAAAGATTTATCAAAGACACACTATCTCGATCATCTCACCTCATGACTGACAAATATAAGGAAGGACGAGACGAAGAGATTAGCAGAGAAGAGAATGACATTCGTCAGGGTTTGCTTTCATAATTTGAGCCACCTCTGCCACTTTCAATGATATTTTGTATATACGATATGGCTTGAAAACTTGTGATGCTTGTGAAGATTTCAATTTGCCAAAGTCAGTAGAAACATATATAGAAACCAATATGACTTATATAGCATGATGTCGCAGATCTGTATAATGTTGAAATATAAATTTGAGTTGATATGTGATATGAATTTCAAATGGAACCATATATTTTTTCTGCTGTCACATGAAAGTAAAGTAAACGAGAAGAAAAATGGTGAAAACCGCGAGTTGATACCTCTTGAGGAACCGGTGAAATACTCGAAATAGTATTATGAAAATATTCACCACAGGAATCTAACTTCAATAATCGTAATCAGAAATATTCTGTATCTATGAAGTTATATCTCACAATAGTGAAGGAGACTCCTAGTAATGACATAGCTAATTGAAATGTAAGTAGTGAGTAGGCTCAGGAATGAGAAAAGGCAATCAAGTTGGTTTTGAATGAAAGAAACACCAAAATATAATTGAAGTTCTATTGGAAGTCTTCACTGTTCATTATGGATTGCTTTTTTGTCAAAATGCCGATATCGAATGAGAAGGCATTTGACATGCTAGCAGTTTGAATTTTAATAATATTATTCCAAGTATTTCTCCGGTTCTTCGAGAGGTATCAACTCGCGGTTTTCACCATTTTTCTTCTCGTTTACTTTACTTTTATGTTATAGCAGAAAAAATATATAATTCCATTTGAAATTCTCGGAAAAAAATGACAAATCGGCTGATTTTTCAAACGATGCCATCTAGTGGCCACCACGGGACGTCTTGATTCGTTTTTTATCTGCAAGATCTGAAAAAAACCTTCATAATGAGACCAAGATAATTGAATTCCGTTATATCAAACTGTAGTAATAAGAATTTTTCCAAAGTACTATTCATCCTTTCCTCCCTCTTTCATTTAAAGCGCAATTTTTTTTTTATCGAAATGATTGGAAATCAACTCCAGATTATAAAAAAAGTGTTTCTGATACGTCTTGATATATAAAATTTTCGTAAAAACCCGATTTTTCAGTTGGCCAATGCAATTACGCCCTCTAGAGGCTGTCCTGGAGACTTGAAAATAATTTCCAGATATTTTTCTTGGCCACTTTTATCATAATTTTTTTTTTCCGAAACCTGTGCGGAAATAGTTTCCGAGATACAGCCGGCGTCTTTCTTAGTGGTACACTTTGAAACAATACCCCACACATGTTTTATAAGACATATTGTCGCATTGGTTTTTATAAAATTTGTATATTTCCACATACCTGTTGTAAAGCATTAATGCACTTGGTGTACACAGGGTCCCTCATGATGATCATCATCACAGGCATAGCTTCGTCGACCAGTGCTAAAGGTCCATGTTTTAGTTCGCCAGCCATGATGCCTTCACTATGCATGTAAGTCAGTTCTTTCACTTTCTGCACAAAAAAAAAATTGTTCAATTTTGAATTAACCCAAGTCCCAACTCAATACTTGAATTGGACATGAAAACATGAAGCTATTCAAGTCATGTCTTGAAGCTAATTCTTCAGTTGACGAGAAAGCAAGCCAATGTAATTTTAGTTCATTGTATCAGTATTTCACTTGAAGAAGCTACTGTGTTAGCGAAATTTTGTGGAAATCTTATCTTTTGTGGAGTTTTTTACAAATCATGTTAAGCTATAAATGGTGTTTCTCGAGTAATAAGAAATACATATAATGGAGTGAATCCAACATAGAAATTATGTTGAAGGGAGTGTAATTTCAATTCTAACTTGATAGCGTAACTTTTACATTCTACAGGGTATCACAAATTTCATGAAAAAAACCTATATAATTGATACTTAACACCCGGTATGTATACACCAATATTCAAAAGGAGATAATATGTCATTCAAAACAAAAAGCGTCCAAATCAGACAAGTAGTTTCGACGATAATTGTTTCCCAAACTTTTGGCTACTTTTTGGTCGTGCGTTAATTTCTTGGAGAAGTGTATATTCGAAATCAGAAGAAAGAGCTCTATCGATTAGGAAAATAAAATACAGAGTGGTCATTTAAAAAATACAAGTTTGTGTAAAATTTTTAGGTTTAGATTTGGGAAGTGTAGTTAGGTTCATTGAGGACAGTTATATTGAGGTACTCACCAAAGCACCCTCGAGACAAGTGGCGTAATTGAAGCCTCTGCCCATAATCAACAGAGACTTCTTCTTGTACAAATCTTCGGCGAGCAACTTCACTTCGCTGTCCAGTTTTAAGACTTGTCGAATTTGCTCTTGCAAGTTCTTGAGGCCATTGATGATCTGAAAGGAAAGGGATTCACTGCTTTGTTATAAGAATACTAGATGATGCACCTATTTTGTAACACACGGCCGATGGTACCTTACGTATACGGAAAACGGGACATTGGATTATTCTGATTATTGCACTCATTTCAAAATACCCGTTTTTGATTGATTTATATAATATGTGTGTTGATAATCAAAAAAATGATGTCTTCGTTTTTGTGTTCCGGCTGGTGATTGGCATCACAATGTACAGTTGTGTGCATAAACAAGTCATACAGCAGTTATAGGCTATTATGAGTCAGGCTTGCCAATCTTGATTGATCTTCTCATCGACTTAGGGTGAAAATTCGAACTATTTTTGTCAGTAACGCAAAAATGTGTTCGTGTACTACTATTTAATGTAATCTGGAATATCATAGTTCACACCATGAAAACCTTGTACAACTTGTTTATGCACACAACTGTACTCCAATGACACATTTTTTTCTATTATTTGAGTCAACAAGAAATATGATTTTCTTGCGATTTATCCATATTTAGTGAGGAGAAGGAAGAATATCATTCAACATAATGGCGTGTGTAATGTCATTCAAAAGGAATCTGTTGACATTTCACATCTCGTATTTGGATTGACTATTGATTAAATAATCTTCTGTAGTAGTCCATGCTCAAAGTGGAGTGGAATGATCAATAGAGAAAAAACCCAAAGTCGTCTCCACAATATTTAATGTATAATCTGGCAGTCAATCCTGCTTCATTAGGGTTGATACATGTTTCGGCCATTCAAATGGCCATCTTCAGTCAAAAGAATACAACAAAGTGGATGTGGAAATACTTCAATGCATCATGAAGGCGAAAAAAAATTTTTTTTTTGTTATTGCTAAATCATTATTTATTATTTAAATTTGATAAAATTAGATGTATGAGGAATTGGGAGGAAGGCAAAAAGCCCAATACCCCAAGAGGAAAGTTAAATACTTCATAGGACGCTGAAGAAGCTCAGCTGAACTGAAAAAATACTTATGTCTTTGATCCTCTTCATGTCATCCTGAATCAATTCAAGAAATTATATTCAACAGTCTCTAGAAGAAACAACATTATATGTATTATGTATATGATTTAAAAATGATTATCTGATTATCTAATTTTTGTTTTTTTAGTTGCTCTTTCATAATTTTCCCTGCTATAAACATATATGTTTCTTGGGAATAATAAAGATAATAATAACAGAGGTGGCTATGTCATTATTGACTAGTGGTTCATAAAATGGCGAAAACTACCTCGGTAGTAAAAACATACTTCACGCCTCGAAAAGAGGTAAATAATGGTAGGTTCTACAGCTAGTGGTGGAAAAACATGTTTTTATATCAACCTAACCTCTCGAATCTCGAGTTGACAATATTATTTGGTGAGTCCTGTCTCTAACTGTTTCTCATCTACAAGACAACAATCGATGTATCGTTAGTTGCTAACTGCAAATGAAATTATGACATGTTCTATTTATGAAATAATGACTGGAATAGTCTGAACAAATACAACTCGCTTTATTGATCATTATCGGAAATCCCTACTTCGAAACAAATTATGTTGCTTGACAACCACACGAGCGCATAGCGTCACTTGTTGTATTACACATACAAAAATAATAGCACGTGATCTAGCAATTGAAAATATTTTCACCCATGATTATACCAAAAAGTAACATCATCTTTTGATATTTCGAATGAGACACCCTGTATTTAACTGCATTTTTGTCTGATACTTTCCTATAAGAATTAGAGTTAATAATTATTTTCCAAATGTTTTGTTAAAAACATAAATCTAATTCAATGTTTATAACTGCAGTATTTGGATCCTTAAACACTCGAAATATGGCCGTAGCATGCCAAGGTACTGTATATTAGTTATTTTTCATGGAGAAGTTTGTTCAGCATTATAAAGGGTGGCTTAAAATTTGTGATTTTACCGCTAGATGTTTAAATGGTGGAATCATTTTTTTTTCAAATTTAAATTTTCTATCATCGAATATTCTGAAACACAATCAAAATCCCTTTCGAATGATATATCATGTTTCTATACCTAAATAGTGAGGTTTTGGATATAAAACAAAGTTCGTGTAAGAATCGGAATTTGAGAAATTTATCATAGGTAGCGATGTCATTATCAAACATGACAATATGAAAATTCGACAATAAGTGTATACAGGGTGTTTCATAGGTAAAGGGAAATATTTCAATGGTAGATAAGGGTCACCAAGGTGGTTCTGAAAATACCATATTTGATAGGTTATAACGGAGATACAGGGCGATTTATCGATTTCGAATAATTATTCGTTCGTCTATATGTATTGACCTACCAAGTATATTTTTCTCAAATTTGGTAAGGAGCTTATACTTGGGACGTTAAATTCATTCACCTATCGGGCGGAGTGAAAATCCAGGTTCGGCCACAGGAAAAATTTACATTTATTCGAAATATTAAAATAACACACTGTATTTGATAATTAACACAGTACATCAAAAGAATTGTGAAGAGGAGGAAAAACTGAATTGTGTATGATGCTTTTTGTTTTTCCGCCACCAATTCTAATCGTAACAATCATAAACAGAAAGTTAAAAGTATGTCAATTTGAAGAGTATTGGAATTATGAAACCAGTGTCAATTATGATTATTTGATATTTTAGTCAAAAAATCGCTCGAAACAGCTCACTAAGTCTCACAGTCTCCATAAGTCTTAAACTACCCAGTAACATCTTCTCAAATTTGGTAGGTATGTAGCTTACTTGGGACGATGGATTCATTAACCTATCAGGCGGAATGGAAATAATACCAAATAATTATAATTCGATAATTCACCCTGTATCTCTGTTATAAAGACTATGAGACTTTTCCTGAAGCTGAACCTGTAATTCCATTCTGCCTGATAAGTCAATGAATCCATCGTCCCAAGTAAGCTCAATACCAAATTTGAGAAAATATTACTGCGATGGGTAGTCTAATACTTATGGACGAGTGAATAATTATTCTAAACCGATAATTCACCCTGTATCGCTGTTATAAGACTAAGTAAGTTCTTTCGAACGATCATTCAACAAGAATATATCAAATAATCATATTTGAAAGTGGTTTCATAATTTCAATACTCTTCAAATTGACATACTTTTAGCTTTCTGTTCATGATTGTTACGATGAGAATTGGTGGCGGGAAAACAAAAAGCATCAAATCCAGTTCAGTTTTTCCTCCTCTTCACGATTCCTTTGATGAACTCTGTCAATTATTACATACAGTGTGTTATTTTGATATTTCGAATAAATGTAAATTTTCCCTGAAGCCGAACCTGGATTTTCACTTCACCCGATAGGTGAATGAATTCAACGTCCCAAGTATAAGCTCTATACCAAATTTTAGAAAAATATACTGGGTAGTTCAATACTTATAGACGAATGAATATTATTCGAAATCTATAAATCGCCCTGTATCTCCGTTATGAAGACTCTAAAACCTATCAAATATGGTATTTTCAGAACCATTTTGGTGACCCCTATGTACCATTGAAATATTTCCCTTTATCTGTGAAACACCCTGTATATATCGAAGACTGGAACCTTTGGCACGATAATACACTACACTGTTTTACCACTAACCAAACCGATTTTCAGTTTTAATCTTCTCCTGAAGATGCTATCATAGTTAGCGAAACACGTGTCGAGGCGTTAAAAAATCGGTTTGGTTAGTGGTAAAACAGTGTAGTGTAATAAGTGTATGTCAAATTATTGAAAGTGATTCAACTGAGCATCAATATATTCGTGAATATGTCGCCCTTCTTGAAAGATAATATCCAATGGACCATCGGTTTGACAATCTGGTTCATCAGATATTATCTTTCGACATGGGCGAAATATTCTCGGAAATATTGGCACTCAGCCACTAAGTGTTTGTTGAAGTTTCAAATTCCAGTATTCATTTCATGGAAATTCAATGATGTAATATTGATATAACTACAAAATGAGCTTTATGTGCCTTTGGTGTAAGCCACTACAAAGGATTGATAACTCACCAGGATGGTTCATCCGTCCGTAACCAATCAAAAGAATGAACGACATTACATCACGTCATCCATTGACTGTGATTTTATCAAGAATACTCAACCTCAAATTTTGATTTTCCACCACTAACCTGGGAAGTCACCATTATTCGAGGAGTTCCTCTAATGAAGACATTCTACCTAGGTAGATAAAACTGTCAATAGTGTCAATGATACGCAATATAAACACATATACTGATGCATATGCAAAAAATGAAAAATGGAACGTTCTTGAAACCACATATAGTTAAAACTACAAATCTCATTACATTTTTGAAGCATGAAAAATGTTTGCGTGATTAATATTACTTCTAAAAATGTCATACAAATCATACGTGAGCTGTTCCTGTCATGTGTGAATTAGACCAAAAATTCGAATAATCATGACTTACAGTATGGACACATTTTTTGACCAATCAAAACAATTTCAGCTATGGCGGTCGATACGATATGATCAAATATGATATATTATGTACCCTTACAATGATTGTTCACTGTAGAGTCCCTTGATGCAAACTGACGTAATTTTCATCTAACAGGGTACGGACAGATCATAGCTACTTTCTCTTTTAAACATCTAGTGACTTTGGTTTCGTGTATTGGCGTCCCTGACATGACGATGCTGTCACGTCTCATTCATAGGCGTTAAAAGAGGTCTTAAAAAAATTTACTTACATGCTTTATCTTAATACGACATTATTCAATTCTGATGATGATGATGATGATTATCCACTCCACAAGTTTTTGAATGCATTTTAGTAGAAACAGTTTTGATTTAAGAGGGCGCATCAGTCAAAACTGCCATGCAGAGGTCAGTTTGGTACCAAATCATTAATAAACTATAAGTGTAAGCGCAAAAGTGGTTGGTACATATTAAAGACGAAGGTTGAGAATAGGATATGAAGGAATTTTCCAGCGAAATTCGATTTG